AGTGACTTCCGGTTTATTGGAATCCATAATGTTGTCTGATGGATTGCCATATTGCATTGATAGAAGTGGAGTTTTTCTGTGCTGTCTGTGCGTCTGGCATTCTCAGCTACCTTTTCACCGTCATCTTCAAATCCTCGTAAAGGAGTTCCGGGTGTCTTTTTAAGCCAAGTGAACCAACTGACGAGGAACGGTGCAAAATTCGTATCTAGTGAAAGTGTATATTGGAGATTTTGGCGCCAAGCTTCGAACGAAGTAATAGTTTCATTCTTTGTAAATGGCCATTGTTTTGGTGCACGTGTTGTAGCCATGTCACTAGTTTCAGATGAGTTATATTACGTTTGAGGTTTCTGATATGCACAGTTCGGGAATAATTGAGTTGTTTGTATGCACTTCGCTTCGGCAATTGTGTATACTTACATTCGCATGAATTTAAATTGTTGTCCGCTCTTCGGGATTTGGAATAACGTATACCGCTGCCACCACGCCAATATGGAAAACATCAAAAGCCTTACAAATAAATCAAACCCTTCATCTTGGTGGTTACAACAAAAACAGTTCGTACACAAATTCCACATTTAGGTAAATCGTTCCTAAATGATTCGCGATACAACACAACATAACATAATGGCGCACTAGTAATGATAATATTTTTGTATCGGAATATTCATTCAGCAAAAATAACGCCATCTAGACCATATTTTGTAACGCAAATTTATGACAGAAGATATTGAACAACTAGCCCTTGTTTGTCAGAAAATAACAGGTGAGCTGAATAATCCACATATTTATGTCTCCTTTGTGTGACTGCATCCATAGAACATGCAAAGTATCAATATTAATGGTGACATAAATCCTGAAACATGATGTTCAGCCTATTATAGAAAAAAACTCATTTTGTAAACACTGAATGACATTAGTTCCTTATTTCCATTATCGAAGATAAAATCTTATGTTTCGGACCAGACAAATAAAATACAGGTCTTTATTTTGCAAGATCTGAATGACATTTATCATGCATTAAAATACTCATCATGCATTAACACATAGTATATCATATACTTGGGGGATTGAATTCATAGAGGGAAAACTATAGTGTTGCTGATGATTAGTGCTGCCTCGGGTATTTTGTCTTTTAAGTTACTGGGACAATCACTATTTGGGTTTTGTTTTAGCTTCTAGTAGAATTTTGCGAGAAGCACTGACTTCTACATTTGACGGCTTACTTTGACATTTAAACCTGCGGAATTGACAAAAGATTCATAGAGGTTATGGCATCTTTGTAAGCCAAGGGTTTCTGATGCGCTACTCTCCTCATAAACCCTTGGTCTAGAATGTTAAAAAAAAAAGTGGGATCAACCAATCAGCAATTGGCTTTTTTGTTGTCTTTTTGCAAATCATTTGCATTCGGGATATATTTTGACTCTTTATTACTCTCAGGAATGAACAGCGCATGTAAACAACGGTCACATGCCATAAATAACAAATGAACATTAATCAATACCTTCTTTTTAACAATTCTTTTAAAAATTCAATGATTATTTCTGTTGCTTACGCAATCTGTGCGAACCTTGTAAGCCAAGCGGTCGCCTGCGTGGCGCAGTGGTTAGAGCGTCTGGTCTCGAGTCGCAAAGTAAGGAGTTGAGCGGCCTTACGTCGCGGGTTCGAATCTCACTGTGGGACGTGGAGACCGGTCCTTCGAATGAGACTGCACGTATAACCGATGTCCCCTGTCGCTGTAAGTGCTGGCACGGAAAAGTACCCTCCCTGCTCAATGTCCCTGAATGTCGAGTATAGGATAAAATTTGCAGCTCTCCACCGGCCAGTGGTGGCGTCTTCATATGAGTGAAATAACATTAAATAATATACAATCAATCAATACAATTAACGTGGTCTAATTTGTAAAGCTAAGTAGAAACTTATTCGACAAACTTTCAAGGTCTCGTTAGAATATCAACATGCTGATACTGCTGTTGTTGAGGGTTTGTTATATGTGATAAATACGTAGCAAATTGATTCGGTGGTCCTGGGGCCCATAAGGGGTGATCTGGTTACCATGAAAATTGCTTCCCTGTCAACTGCTTTTCTTGCCTTTCACTGCTTTTGAGGATAAATGATAATTTAATATATCCCACTTGAATCGTAATAAAAGACATCTCTGACACATTTGTTTCATATGCAGATATTTCGCTTGTGTGTTGTTTGTCCGTCCCATTGCAATTTTTTGTATAGAGACATCATCACAAACCGGCAAAGGTTTAAAATTTTAGCTCGCCTGATCTGAATACTCAAGTGAGTTTTTTTTTATCACCCGGCGTCCCTTCCACTGTCTGCTCGTCTTTCTGTAAACTTTTTACATTTTTCAACTTCTTCTCGAGACCCTATGGACCAATTTTTAACAAAACGGTACAAATCATTCTTATGTAAGGGTGGAGATGTCAAAATGAAGGACCAAGTCCCCCCAAGGGGAGGTAATCAATTAAACATTCATACGATGTTGTCATTAAACAAGAGGCCCATGGGCCTTATAGGTCACCTGAGCATTATTCAACAACTTTCCAGTGATTGAATTTGATCCATGTTTTAAGCCAGATGCTATAGCTTTACAATTTGGTAATCATAACTATACACTTAGCAGTTCCTTAAAATACCCATAGGCAGGGTACAAAAAATGCATTTCAACAGATTAATATTCAGCAATAATCACTAGTGCCAACCACACATGAATCCTTGACAAACACATTGCACAATTTTTGGAAAGGCATCCTTGCTTTTCAAAAAAAAAATTTGATTAATACCAAGGAGCTTTCAAACAATTCATTCATTTTCAGTATGTAATCACCCCCCCCCCCTGGTACAACTGACCCTGGGGCCTTGAAATTTACAATTCTTGAAGATTAACCCTTGCTATAACTATATAGGTAGTTCATCTGCTTAAAACCTAGGAGCAAAGAACAAAATATTCAAAGATTTAATGTTTTTTCACTATACATGTAATAATCAATACAGCCCCCCCCCCCAACACCAGAATCCCTGACCCTGGGGCCATAAAATTCACAATTTTGGTAGAGGCACTCTTGCTTATCATAACTATGTACTTAGTTAGTTTATTTAATACCCAGAAGCAGAGAAATAGATTTTCAAAGAAATAATGTATTTTCACTATATAATCATCCCCGCCCTAACACCAGAACCCCTGATGGGGCCATAAAATTCACAATTTTGGTAGAATTTGCATAAATTTACTTAGTTAGTTTATTTAATATTTTTAAAGAAATAATGCATTTTCACTATATCTTTATATGCCCCGCCCTAGCACAAGTACCCCTGACCCCAGGGCCATGAATTTCACAATTTTGGAAAGGATCAAATTACAATCATGAACAGTTTGATGCTTGATGTCCAGGTGTAAAGAAGAAGATTTTTAAAGATTGCATTAATTTTAGTGGTTTTGGCCCCACCCCCCAGGCCCCTTGAAGTCAACTTCACAATTTTTTTTCTCTCTCATAGATGCTTTGTGCCAAATTTGGTTGAAATTGGTTCAATTTTTCATAGAAGAAGCTGAAAATGTTCAAAAGTTTACGATTGACGACGAACGACGTGGGAATCGGACGAACATCGCTATATGAGTGAATATAATTGTTCTGAAGGACCACTTCAGAAAAGCTAAAATCTACATGTATGTGGAAGCATCCTTGGGTAGTGTAGATTCTAAATTATTCAACTCATGACCCCTGGGGTAGGACGAGACCACAACAGCTCAACTAGGACATATTAAGGAAAAATCTCAAGAACTACTGGCCTAATAAAGCTAAATCATTTGTGGCAGCATCCTTCAGTAGTGTAGGTTCTAAATTATCCAAATTAAGATCCCGAGTAATTTACAAGGTTCTTCGGATGAGACGGTCAGCACTTTTGATATACCGTATAAGTAGAATTTTTAGCGAGGATTTAATTTTGGCATTATTAGCGAAGGTGCCGAGACGTTTTATTTCTAATAGCTACTTTAATGTGCTTTTTAAAATCGCTAAATTGACATCTCGCTAAAAATAAATTACCAGATTTTAAGGACAAATCGCTAAATTTGCTTCTCGCTAAAATTTCCACTTATACGGTATATACATGTGCGTGTGTGTGAGAGGATGTATGTTTGTGTGTTGTTTGTCCAATCAATTGCATTTTTTGATGACTTTAACAAACCTTAAAATAACATTGCAGATATAGACAGGCTTTACTGTGTTTTCCCCATATCTAATTTTGTTGCGCGTCTTTTTCATAAACATTTCTGAAATAAATCGACTGCATGAAAAATAACAGAAATAAAGTCGACCAGAATTTTCTTCTTGGCAAGCAAGTTATCATAAGTAACAATTAGCCAGAACGTTTATGCAAGGTGAACTGTTCCTTTATTTCATAATTCTATTAACGCACAATAATGGCACATACAAACTGTTTTATTTATCATTATTCACTTATTGCCAACTTAAATGAGACAAGAATTCTTAGCTGTCTGCTGAACAAAGTTCAATTGCTTTCATGTCATTTAAACCTAAATCACGCTGTCAGGTGCCCAGATTTACTCATTGGATAAACCCTGGTTATCAATTGTATCCCAATTTGGGATTCCCAAAACAGTTACATGTATGCACATTCACCTTGTGCTTCATTTAAGGAGGCTTAGGGGGTCAGCAAATTTTTTATTAACCACCAAATATAACTTCAAATTTGGGATATGATATCTTAAGCTCTCAACTATCATTTCGCAAAGGAAATTTCATAAATTTTAGTTTTAAAATTTGTTCATTTTGTTATATCTTTATATGGAGCTCTTCCTCTAAAGGAGATCAAATAGTCTGAAAATGGCCTCAACCACCCAGCCCCTTGAAGTCAACTTGTTTTTTTTTTCTCTCGTAAAGTTAAGTTTTACAATTTTTCATATATACAGTTGATTCTGGAATCTCGAACATCGCTATATTGAATATAATTGTAAAAAACAAAGAAAGTCTGAAATTCCACTTTTACTATTTATATTTTTGTCAAATCAATTCCCTGGAAAATAAATTAAAAATTCACCATCTCTTGTAGTGTATTTCATTTTTCTTTGTAAATCATGTGTCTTTTTAAATATATACTCATTATATACTCAGATTTATTTCTCTAGAATACATGCACTCAATGGAATCACGGATAGTAATAGATTGAAAGTTTCACACGACACGCACGTTTCAAAATTTTCCGCATCCATAAAACGTCCATCTGAGATCAAAACACAGCATGGAAATGTCTGATTGTAGGTAAAAAGCCTTACACACTGACAATACAAGCGTCCGACGGGTGTTCACAATACTTAACATTTTACAAGTGTTATGTGAAAGCAGAAGGGAAATACGCATTTAACGTGTATATTTTGGCAAAAATGACGTCTGATCATGAACCAATAAAAAAAATACGCTTAGGTTTTTTAAATTATTCGTAGTGTTTGTTTTTATGTCAGCAGACGGAGCACAAAGGAATCATCATCAATACTGGTAACATTGAAGGATCCCACGCCACCGTTCCTGTTTTACAAATCTTCCATAGGTAAGGTTATCTGTAAAAAAGATAAATATGTAAATATAAATGCTGATTTTCTATTTACTACTAAAAGAGATTCGTGAGCCTTAACTGTCACCTGAGTGAAGGGGAGACCAACCTTCCGAGTATTGCTGCAATTCTGCTACCCGGCTAGTATTATAAGTCTTTGTTCATTGTTGGATTGATTGATTATTATAGGATACACCTTACATTTGCTACTAGGCTTCCGCGACCGGACTTTTTTTTCAAATATTGTCAACCGTAGGCTCGAGTTTGTTTATTTAATTATGTAGATACGTATCTTAACTAAGTGTATAAACAGGTCTGTCCTTCATAAATTCTTTTGTTTACTTGTAGGTTTTTCTGCTATTTAACCAAGTTGTACGTCTCTAGTCTCATCTACCCTGTACGACGAAGAGAAGTTAGTACAATATTCAACGTAATAATTACTATACAGCGTGTCTTCATTTTATTTGTAAATAGATTTTCCATTTAGTTTAGATCATAAAAAATGTCAACTCTTTTTTGTTATTGTATAAACTTCGGACTACGCATTTCCTCTTTTGTGATTGGTAGAAATTTCATGATCAGAATATTTTCAACTATTTCATTGGTTGAAATGCTGTTCAAGGCAAGGGAGATGATTTTCTAATGATCTAATTTTCGTACGACTTAACAATTTCCCAAGACTTTCAATCGTAAAAAAATGACAAAATAAACGGTGGAAATTAGCAGTAATGAATTCTAAATAACATGACTGTTCTTTTACAACAATACCTAAAAAGTGTTTCTTTATAGAAATATTTAAATATTTAAAGTATATAAAAGTCGATTTACCCCCCCCCCCAAAAAAAAAAGAAAACAAGAACAACTAAGAAACAACTTACATAAATTAACATCAATACTACGCCGTATCTCTATGAGATTGAAATGCTACGGCACAATTGAATATGAAACAACATACACATTTAATTAATGACGGTGTATGCACTTACCGAGATTAATGTCAGCACACTGCATAGGAGAAAAGCAATGAATACACCATTATATAAATATTTATCACGTATGGCTTTGTTCTGGCACTCAGTCCTCTAGCATCTGACATTTCCTCTGAAAGAAGAAAATTAAATGAATTTTGTTTGTAAACCTCCGGGCTACAATTTAAATTTGGTGCATAAATACAAATTATGATCACAAACGTCTCTTTCGCTTCCTCGTTTCTCCGACACTCGTGCCATTTTTAAAAAAGTGTCCTTTTTCCTTTTCCCGACTGATTGGATAAATATATTCAAATAAAATCTTTTTAAATTTCCAGGAAACTATTTTTCAAAATTTATTCCGGAATTTTCTTATCCTGTCAAGAACTATTTCTATTGTTAAAAAAAAAAAATAATACCACACATTTTCAAGAACCAGCATTGACTAAAAAAAAAATCCACCAGTTTATTTTTTAATCCTGAAAAGGGAGAATTCTAATTTTTTTTTTAAAAAAGGTTGCTTCAGTGTCAGACACTAAACAAAATCGATTCAACTATTTTATAGTACAGTTTGTATGTATCTACCAAATACTAAATGTAACAATATTATTATAACCAATTAAAAAAAAATTAAAATAAGATGGTCTCGGTTAACTAAAAGTGACCATTTTAAAAAGAATACACTGCATTTTTAACAACAGTTGAATGAATTCATAGCTCTTTCCACTACAATTACCAATTTTAAAAAAATGAAAATAAGATGGTCTCGGTTAATTAAAAATGGTCATTAAAAAAATAATGATAAATTGTATTTTTAACAACAGTTGAATCAGTTCATATCTCTTTGCACTACAAGGTAGTGCTTACATATTATTTTGAGAAAAACAAAAAAGAAAGTATGATGATTGAACGATTTACTGTAAAGAGCGATGATTCTTGGGAAGGAAAAAATAACAAAAGAGCTCCCAATAAAATTATCAGGCGACTTTATTAAATAACTTTGGACAGACAAATTTCTCAAGTCAGCTTGATGTTCAGTTGAATTGTACACTTTTTATTTATTTATAAGCACTCTTTTAGCGGTTGACCAATTTTTAAAAAACTTCCTTGATATACTTGCAACAAAGAAACAATTTTATATGAGAGCTTCATTCCTTTGTGACGATTTGATGAGGGCCATGCCCGATCATCGAACTCGTAATATTCCAATTCCACTGGGTTTTAATTTTCAGGATGCAAATTGTTCACGATATGCAATATAAAATACAACGTGCACTTCTTTACACACATTTTACAATATTAGCAACAGAGCTACAGCTACAGTGCCACCCGGTGTACAGTGAATTTTTATTGCGCACAAAATGGACTGTTTCTCGATTTGTTTCTAAGTATATAATCATAATAATTATGTGTTATCATATCATATTCTTTTACTACTTATACAACAATACATTGACGAAGCGTGTTGAACCCAATTGTCTTGCCACCTAAGATCGATGGCAGTAAAAATAAGCGAAATTTTCCATGGTCTCAATTTCAGGCCAAGAAGGACTATTTAAAATGGTTTTGGGAAAAGTTTTATTGTTTAAGTAATGAAAAAGTATGTAATATTTTGAGATGGCACCTTAAATATACTTAGAAATCGAAAAAGCGCATTTTTGGTGCGCAATACATACATGTATATACTTATTCCTATGGGAGGCACTGTACATGTATCTCTCTGGTAGTTCATCAAACGTTTATCAGACCATTCAAAATATTTACATCTACTGAATATTTTCTTTGTTTCTTAACAATACTATTGCCGTTGATCAGTTAATGAAGAACACCGGCATATCACACTGTACAGATTTCTTGATCAGTGTTGTTCCATCAATGAAATGTACGGTGGCGTACATAATTAGCTTTTTTATCCTACTTTAAAACATTATTTATACAGATATAAATGTAAAGAATAAAAATGCCATTGTTTGGTTATCAGTACAGAAATCAACGTCGCAGTTATTGCAGAAAAAAATTTACATATCGACAATAACTTCCGAACTAGCAAACGAAGAAAGCATTTTCTTTTCAAATGTAGTCCAATATATTTTTTAAAATACACCAGGAATCCTTCCCGTACAATGACGTCAGAGAGACACCCGCATGATATTGACATGCATATTAAGCTTCCTTTTTGCTCCTGACCTTTCATTTGGCGAAGACAAAGAAGTTTTCAAAGAGAAAAAATGTTAAGTGATGACAAAAACAACACGGTATGCATTTTTTCCTTAAAACACAGCTATCTTGGTCGTTTTCTTTTCTAGATGCTCTCAAGGCAATTGAATCTTTGCAAGTGACAATTTTCAGTTACTGTGATAAACTAACTAGAAGGAACTTTGAAATGGAAAAAGCGTTGAAAGATTGTAAGACTAGCACTGTATAAAAATCCATTTTCTCCTCTGTATAAATGTACTTGATGTCTGCATTAAGTTAATTTTAAAGTAGAAATAATTAAGTTGTGAACAGAAGCGTTAGGCCAGTGTATGGTGAAAACTCTAGAACAATGCTATACCCAATGGGCCATGTATACTTTTCAAGATTTATTAGCGGAGAACACCATTAATTTATGACATTTTTATACTTTGAGTTTCATACGAAATTACCAAGGTTACTTGTGACCGTTAACCACTCTAAAATTAGGTCGACTCTCACTTTTTCGCATAAATAAATAATCCATTTAGGTGTTTCTTAATTACTTTTACCTCAAACGATTTCACCCACATAGGAATAAAGTACAGTTAGAGGAGATTGTGTGATATCTATTGTCCATTTCAACATCATTTGTTAAAAAATTGACCACTTTAAAGGATTGTCGAAAGCCCAAATGGGCTAATGCGATAGTATTTGGTGTCCGTCTAGCTGTCCGTCTGTCCGTCCGTTTGTGAACAATTTTCCAAAACGCTACTCCTACAGTTTTCACCAGAGTAGACCGGACAGACCGGACGTATCTACGAAATTATGTAATATTTTTATACCGATCTTTTGAAACAATTTCTGTCTTTTCGGAGAGAATACCAAAACAAACAAAATAAGAAATGTGCAAATCTTTATGGGTCGTTTAAATTTATTAAGCCAGAATCCCGTGAGCTATTTCCTTAACATGCTCTCAAATAATCTGTGTATGTCGTAACATGGACTCACCGTATGTATTCCTTTGTGGAGTGCGCACTAAAAAAATAATATAATCTTCATTAAGCATTGTCCGAAAATCATAAGAACTACATTAAGACAAACCATTCGTTCTTTTTCCAATATCCATTAAACAAACGGACTTTGAAAAACAACAGAATCGTTATTTGTTTGCAGGGGGGGGGGGGGGGTTAATACTTTTACTTGTTCAGAACGCTATAATATTTCCTGAATGTCTTTACATTGGGTTGTGTTAAAATAAAGTTGTAACACAAGGGTTTGAATAATTTATATATTCATCGACACAAGTCCTCTGCTTCTTTAGACCTTGGAGTTAGACTTGCATTTGAGAAATTTCAACCCGCGCCAAGATAAGGGGCATCAATGTTTCACAAAGATATTGTTTCTCATTATTTTATGTATGGGAACTTCACAAAAAATGAAATGACTTATTATTTCTATCAAATTACCTGGACGATTGGTAGCGTCTCTCTCCATTTTTAAATTTTCCAAGTTTGAAGTGAATACTGGAATAGACAAAAAAAAAAGTATATGAGTCATTAAAAATAACAAATTAATTGGAAACAATGATTCACGTTTAAACAAAGTATATTTTACTGCAATGAAATGAAAATGTATTTTTATCTTTGACCTTGACATTGGCCCTTTTCCCCCTTGGGTCCTCGTCGTCCAATTGGTCCTGGGTACCCAGGGTATCCTGAAAAAAATTTATAATTAGTTTTCAAGTATATGGTTTTCTATGGCGGCTTTTCACTCAGCACTGTAAATAATGTTCCATATTCAAATGAACTGACCAAAACCTCAAAGTTATATCTTCAATACTACGTTGATCCGTAATCACAAATTGATCACAAAGCGATTACCTAACAACAAAGCTTTATGATACAGGTGATGGACCTTCCCTTACTTATGCAGCATTTATTCATACCCTTCGTACCTGCATACGGGGTTGATTCAATACGCATCCTCTACGTATGAACAATTACTAAAACGATGTAAATTATTGTTTGAAAATCAACATTTCATAAGTTCTATGGTCCATACAATGACCTTGTCAGCTGAAATGGTCAATCATAATGTCAAATGCTAACAAATTTTTAGGTTGTTTAAAATTCCTCACTTCATTGTCGACGGATTTTCCTGTTATTTTCTAATCCTGACAAGGAGCACACGACAGGTCGGCAGAGGTTTCTCTCCTTCATGACACCTAATCCCACCCCTGATGTTTGAGGTACTTAGTTGCTCTGCTCCTGACGTGCTTGAATGGTTTTGAGCGTGAGTACTGTTCGTTATCTCAGTATAATTCATTTCAAAGCCTCCTTTTTCAGACCCATCCTAAGAACATTTGGCATTCCAAAAATAAAGAAATCCCGAAAGGACATTTCAATTATCAGGTCAGATATAAAATTATTTTTCTAATTGCGGGGAGTTAAACTTTGAAAGAATTGTGTTGTATCTATTGTATACAAATGGATGAAACATTTCAAACGAGGTACATGTAGTCTTGGGGTTGTTGGTCTTGTTTTGTCAAATATTACTTCAGAAAGATTCTTATCTCTTGGGAAGTGTTGGTATTCTGTTTATTGATCAGAATTATCTTGTAGGCATTTAGGATTCCATTAATGATTAAATGATTACCTCTTTCCCCTTTCTCCCCGACATCTCCTACAAAAAAGAAGACGGTAAAGTCACTTTTATATTGTATTTTAATGCAGGAATACAGTTATTATGAATTTACTAGACACAAATAGACAGATATGACATTAAGCTCTATCGCTGAAATCTAACCCAAATCCAAATTTTTCATGATATTGAGGCTTGTAGGTCAGACTGAAAAATTTAACGCTTTTCTATGGTTATATTTCTTTAGTTAGATATAAAGTAAGGATATTCATTGGGCCCCATTTTTCATTTAGAGCAATATACCTTTGTTAATATATAATTAAAGACTTTTTGTGGAGGGTTTATATTGTGCCTTGTACAATGATCTTAAAGTGTCCGGTCCATATTAGGACATAATTTTTTAACCTTAAATATCAATCCTGTATTAAATACTCTGAAACTAATTCAAAACAGTTTAGAGTAGAAAAGGATTTAGTAGCTCAGACGCTTCTCGAGATATTGAGCAGTTACGAAAATGTTAAAACAGACAGAAATTTTGAATTTATGACCTTGAATTTTGACCTCAAAATCATCAGGGGTCTTCCTTTGGCCTTAGGGAGTTGTGGGTATAAAATGTCATTGCAAACGCTTCACGAGATACCCCGGTATCGCGCGGAAACGAAAGTGTTAAAATAAACAGAATTTTTTAATTTATGGTCCTGACCTTTGATTTTTTTTGACCTCAAAATCAGTATTGATCTTCGCTAGGCCAAAGGGAGTCATTAAGGAAAATTTCATTGAAAAAGCTCAAAGGCTTCTCAAATTACAGAACTACAGGCAGACGGACTGACAGACAAACCAAAATATATATCCCCCACTTTCAGCGGGGGACAAAAATTCTACGGTAAAGCTGATAGTGTAAAGCTGTTAAATATATTTATAATTATTTTCTTTAGGTAATCAATCAGAATTGAAATGATACTATACGGTGCAGGTTAATTATTAAGATTTTTACCTTTATCACCTGGCCAGCCATTGGAGCCGCTCAGTCCCCGGTCACCCTTGTTTCCCTTAGGTCCATAGGGACCTAAATAAAAACACAGAAATCATTAAGGTACTACAAAACTGAAACAGTTTGGCAAAATACATGCGAGATCATGTTAAATCACGTTTTCCTTCCATCTGTCTATAACCTGCACAGATTGCATAAGATCATGTGCTTGATCAACAGTAACTTGTGGCCTGCACGTGTTTTATAACTTTAAACTTAAAAGTATATTAGAGCAAGCTAAATGAAAGGGGAGGGGGGTCACAACTGCTTACAGGTAAATATGTGTCCATTTCATGAAAAGCAAAAATGAATGGACCTCGACAAGCAATAACCCTAAGATACACAGCTGTTTACACTTTATGCTTGTGTCGCCTCAATAATAACACGATTATTAAAAAATTATTGCTCGATATTGCTTCCCTACAAAAAATCTGAAAATATAAAGTTGTGCCTCCTCAGTAAAAAAAATAGAGCAAAGCTCATTGCAAAGCAACGAGTAGGTCTTCCGTCCTGTTTGACCGGAAGTAACTTGCATTAAAAAAAAAGAGTAATGACGTCCAAAATGGTTTAAATCCTCCAAATCTCTCTTAATTAATGCAAAAATAAGCCATTTTTTGCTGCTTTCGGTTCTACCGGAAGTGACGACGACGGACGGAAATTTAAGTTTTATGCTTCCAGTGACAGATGTTACCCAAAAACATGTCAAGTACGGCAAAAATACGAATTTTCTGAGTACTTCCGGTTTGGACAGGAAGTGACGTCATCGGACGTTTTGTGACGACCCCAATAGATTCAGCTTGACATTTCGAACAACTTTGCTTCTTTAATGTATTACAAATTCTCAATACTTTTAAAGATATAAGGAAAAAACTTCTGGCCCCTCTATATCCCTAATTTTAGGGGCTAGCCCTTTTATTCAAGGTATCATTTGAAAGATCGTGTAATTCTACACTTCTTTCGTTCTACCAAAATATTTGTAGGTAAGAAGTTATCGTAGAAATAATGTTAGAAATTTTGAAATTTGCGATAGGACTATTTTCGGGCCATAGCGAGCGTCCGCGCTTCGTACTTCCGGTGGTTGTGATATTCCAAATACACTTCTCCAAAGGTTGCTCTAGCATCACTGAAAATTTCACACTTCTATCTTCAATGGTTTTTGAGAACATTGCCAGACAAAGTGACCCTCTAAAAATGACAAAATCGCGGAAATCTCCGAACCGGAAGTGACGTCATCAAAATAAAAAAAATTATATATCTAGATTTTTTATGCTCTATCAGACCTGCAAGTTTCATGAAAATCCATCAAGCCGTTCCCGAGAACTCGCGTGCACAAAATATGTAAGAAAGAAAATAATAAAAACTGTGGAAAAGAAACCTAAGAATAACAGTAAGGTCTTCCGCTGAAGACGGAAGACCTTAATAATAGCTTAATTAAGGCGTAACTTATTGGGTTAAATATTGTAAAGTTTTCTCTCATTAAATTTGATATTGACTGTTAGTCGTAAACAAATTGTCGTTTGTTCATGACCAAGATATATAATTTGGGTTTGGGACATCACATGTATTACCGGTCGACAATACAAAGGTCAACATATCAGGGTTTTGTTTTTTCATTCATGTAGAAATACGGCCGGAGCAAGTACGGATATGGAGGTTAAAGTCAAGTTCCATAAAACTAGATGTGTTATGTGGATGTAATGCTACCTTCGCTGATGTCTTTAAAAGTTGTGGAAGTGAGTTTCGTTGAAAGTTCTTTCAAAAGGTTTAAATATTAATGAAATATGATTGCAATGTCGCATTTATCAATAAAACACAATGGCAATAATTTTTAAATAGATACCCGGTGGTCCGTGACGTCCAACAGGACCCTCTAAGCCCCGAGGTCCTTCATCACCTTTAGTACCCTTTTCTCCTCGAGGACCTACAAAATTTCATAAACGATGCCGTTAATTTGTAATACTACATTAAGTATTCATTTACTATTTAAAAAAATGACCATCAGCATTTCGGGGCATGTGTTAATGAAGTTTATTTTAAATTTTAAGTCTTATACTTGTTTTTAAATTGATATTTAATTTTTTTTTCTCATTGGATCTCAGATATTTTTTCACATACCTTTGCCTCCAGTTTCGCCAGGAAATCCCAGAAGTCCCTGTAACCCTTGATCTCCTTTAGCACCTCTCAATCCAGGCAGACCAGGTCTTCCTTAAAGAAAAATCGGAAGCTTAACTAACAACTTAACATCAAGGTATTAATGCATTCATCTACAGGAGAATGCTGCTGATACATTATACAATTTTACATATAATAGGTCGCGGGAAAAGGAGATGATCCTTTCGTCGTAAGTTCGAATCCCATTTGCGGTTCGTAGAATTCGGTCATATTTACTGAGGTCCCATGCCGCATTAGGTGCTGACATGGAAAAGATCCCTCACTACTCAAAAGCTAAAAAAAAAAAAACTATAAAAGAATAAAAGTCTATATTTGCAGCCCTCCATCGGCAAGTGGTGGCGCTCATTTAAAGTAAAATATTACCGAAAGGACATTAAAAACAAACATACAATTGTATTTACAAAGTCTTAATTGATACCTTGCCCTCCTTGTGGTCCTCGCTCTCCAGGTAAACCTCTAAGACCCGGAAGTCCTTCGTCTCCTTTTGGTCCTCTGGGCCCAGTCGGTCCACGATTGCCTGGAGCTCCTTATGGATTAAAAAAAATACCAGTAAAGTTCGATTTTGAAAAAAATAGGAATATGCCTGATGGGATTTCATTAAGAAGAAAACAATAAATACTGTTTACTCCTTATAAATCTTGTTCCAAGCTTCATACGAACACGAAGTTTTTGAGACTTACCCTGCGGTCCAACTTGTCCCGGATTACCCGTTGTTCCGTCGTAACCAGTGTTGCCTTTCTCGCCTTTTTCTCCCTTTATTAAATATAATTCTGTGAAATAAAAGAAAAAAATCAGTAAAACTTTATCAAAAATTAAATAATGCAATTTCACCGTTTTTCTGTCTTTTATTTCGGGTTTAGTGGGATATATTGAATAAACCTAGGAATGATATTCATTTGGCCTATTGCTGATTGATAAAACGATATCAAAAACCTTTGATCCCAGCTGCAGGAGGAAAGGGACCCCGAAATTCACAATTTTCGTTCCCCTTCACCCATAGATGCAACATGCCAAAATTGGTTGAGGGGTTTCACAGAAACTGAAAATGTTCAAATGTTAACGCACGGCGACGGACGGAGATAGATAACAGTTTACTCAGGTGATGTAAAAATATATAGGAGAAAATCAATGACGGGGTTTAATTTACAAAAATTAACGCATTTGAGTAATGTATATGTCTTGAAACTCACCACCTAGAGAATTCCGACAAACTCGAAGAAACGTTTCACAATCATCATTCTGAAACTAGAGACATTTACAACTCTATAAAAATATAAATCATATAACTCATTCATTTATTTTAAACGGAATTCATGAAGAATCAAAGGGGAAAACAACAACAGCATTTATGAATCGAAGGGATGAAAATATTTGAAAGCTCCCTTTTAAAAATTAAATTTGGTGATCAAAGGTTCTCACGCTGATAAGAGAAATAATTTTCACCACTTAATAAGATTCCACAATTTTCAAGTTAAACTACATTAGATTTACCGATTGTCTTTCTTTTTAACATCAGATTCCATGCAATCTGAAACTTCAATAAAGAGGGAGACAAAAACGGAAATGATTTGCTTATTTTGTTTTTTAATTAGGTATCACTGCTTATTTCTTTTATATCGCTTAAAATAATTCACTAATGACGTTTTAAGAAACAATTGAACTCTTGCTTGTTGTCCCTTTCATTTAAAAAAGCCAGTATCTTAGATCCGCCAACAGGAACCACCACCGAACTCCTTTTATGACTAATTCGAGGCTGTTAACCGAAAAGTAGACTTTTAATTAAATTTGGGATAATTACTTTGCGAGTGAAATCTGAATATAGTTTACGGACATCATCTTATCCCTAGTGTATTCCTTAAGGAGTTAATAAAAACTCTGGTGCAGCCGTTTCGGAGTTTATTTGCAAAATTTATTAATTTACAAGTATAGAAGTATAGTTTCTGTAGATTTTGCCGACATTAATAAGATATTAAGATTTCTTTTTGATAATTCTTATCGTTATAGTTAAATTATTTCTCGGTCAACAGAGGGACTATAAACCTTCACGGAATTAGCGAAAAATATACATGAACACATTAAGAATTTTTCCAATGTATTTTTAAATAATTTCAAGTTTAAAAATAGCTATAGCTTTGGCTAAAAGCCATTATGTATTCACCATTTTTTATAATATCGATTGTTCAAACAAGTCCATTTGTACACTAAATGATCGCAAATAATCTAAACAGATTGTATGAAAAATCGGAAACATTTTCAAATTCCAGAAGCAAACTTGGCTAAAAGCCATGCGATTCATTACTTATGTTTGCTCTGTTATTTCTTTTGTTTTCGTAAAGCGCAATACATTTTTGTATATCCAACAAATGTTCACAATCGCGGACTTTTTTTCGTCATTTTAAATAACCTCATTGGAGGCTAATTTAGCTGAAGTGTAAGGAACAGAATTAACCGTTTACGCTTGCATTTTTGAGAATGAAACATTTTAGAGAATGAACATATGGAGATAACGAACAGTGTTTAAGACCAAGTCCATAAAACAATTCGAAATAGGAGCAGAGCAAACACTGACCTCCAGATCATCGGAGGTGGGATCAGGTGCCATGGAAGAGTGAGGATCCCCTACCGACCGGTCACACCCGCCGTGTGCTCCTTGTCATCATCGGGAAATAACGGAAAATCCGTAGTCAGTTCAGTGTAACAAATAGTATAAAAACGTCAGTCAGCATTCGACTCAATGATAAATTGCATTTGCTGACAAGGTCATTGTATCGACCATAGAACTAACGAAATGATGACGTCAAACGAGACTGCTGAAATTCTTGTTTCATCAACTTGTTTGTCAATAACTTACCTCGTTTTAGAAATTGTTCAAACGTAGAGCATGCTCCTGCGTAACGAATCAACTGAGATAGAAAAACTCCGTATGCAGGCGATGAAGGTATATTGCTGCATAAGTAAGGAAAGTTGACGATAGAAAAGTTAAAGTCATCACCTTTATCATAGAATTTGTTTGTTAGATTACCATTAACTTTTTTTTTCAAGTAAACTAGCATGTACTTTTTTGATTCCCATACTATGCTGACATCCGAATTGTTAAAAAAAAAATTCCATACACGAATAAAAAATGTTTTAGATTTCGAGAAGACTACCTAGAAAAAATGAGAATATTTTGTTGAATATATTCTACATGCTTTTCTGCCCCCTGAAATTTTCAGAGACAACGAACTTGGCAAAACGGTAAAATCTATGTCAAGAAAAACAATTTTAAAAAGTAATTATCAAGAATATCAACGATATAGATAACCTGGTGAGCCCAGACAATTTGGCAGGTGAATAGATGGAGGAGGGTGAGCGCTCATATTCGACGGTGGTCAAGGCCAGTCCGGTTGACTCATCGACCTCTAAACCTACCGGAGATCAAGGTATGACAGGTGATAAAGGTATGACCGATGATAAAGGTGTGACCGGAGATTAAAGTACAACCCTCAGTGATGAATTAAATGGCTGAACATATATATGTTAGAGTTTAACATGCTTACATCACTTGTAATCTGCCTATTTATTACCATCCCACCTTTTTATTGTTACATATAGAAAATTGCGGATATAGCGGACTGTGTTTGCCTTTACATGTAACATGTCTAGGACTATTTTTGTTTAGTACTTTAGTATTGTTTGCATCCAATCCTATATTATTAGGGTTCAAGTATGATCCCTTCTTTTTTTCATTGTACATATGTTATTTGCCCTTTACTGCTACCCAAACAATTCGTTTTTCTGTTTTTCTCGTGACTGTATTATTTGTTTCTTTTTTGTTACATTGTTTCTTTTTTATGCTACAAAAACAAAATGTGATTGTCAACCTTCTTTCCGAAAAATTCTTTTATTTTTTGAAATATTTTGTATTTATCATGTATGTGTATAACTTTACACCTTCAATTGTTATTTTGGCAATCACTAATTTAATTATTGTATATATTACAGGGAGAGGTTTTTTTAAGTTGCAAGAACTTGTAACCAATCCCTTTGTATAAGTTATACAATAAAATATGTTCAAAACAAATCAAAACTTGGCAAAAGTACTGATGAAAATAAATCATGCTTTCTTAAATGGGCAAGAACATGCAAATATTTCATCTTAAGTTTTGTAAAAAATACTTCATTTGATTGCAAAATTGCCCCTTAAATTTCCTCTCTTTTTTTTTTATAACCCTGCTTGAACGTCTGTACGTCCATCCGTCTGTCTGTTACGATTTGGGGTACTTATCTCTTTTCCGCAACTACCACTGAATGAAATTAATGAAACTTTAACAGAATCTTTGTTATTTAGTGTCATTGTGCACCTTCTACTTTTTTATCCGACACATAGAATGCATAGTTTGGGTTTCCAATAGCAAAACATGCCTATTTTTACTATAATATTGAAGGGAACCCATCTCTTATCCGCAACTCCATACATACGACTTATAAAGTCCTCAACAAAAAAAAAATACCGTATAAGTGGAAATTTTAGCGAGACGGAATTTTAGCGATTTCTACCTTAAATCTGGTATTTTATTTTTAGCGAGAAGTAATTTTAGCGATTTTAAAATGTTAACTAAAGAAGCTATTACAAATAATACACAATTAATTTTTAGCGATATTCAATTTTAGAGATGTCAGCACCCTCGCTAATAATGCCAAAATTAAATCCTCGCTAAAATTTCTACTTATACGGTATTACAAATGTCGACCATTTTATGGTACAATGTATTTGCAAGAAGCAAACTGATCTGTCACTCTTTTCCTGGTGTGACTAATCACCAGTTTCTCTATTGACTAGATATTCTTGTTGATTAAACAAAGCACACAAGGGAATTTTTCAGCTGAAATAATTTCGGCAGACATCGTTGTTCGTAGAGGACAAGAAAATAATTTCTTTTCGGGCGTATATCTGCTGACATGTGAAGAATCAATATTAGTTTGTAAGAACACTGCCCGACAGTGCCTGCAACTCATTTGAGCCCACCAAATTAATTCAATGTTACACGCGATAGATTGTGAATGTCCAAAGGTCCTGGTAGAAAATCATACTAATTGGTCTGTGGAAACGTTTTATTTAAAAAAATTGTCATTGCATTCTAATTTGACAAACTGCTATTCCAAGGGTGCCGTTATGTTTGTATAAATATGATGATCAGGCTACATTGAATATAAGCTTTGATGTGTGAAAATAGGCTCCTTCCATAATGAGAGCAAGAGATGCCTAACTTCGTTTTTTATCGGCTTCCAATCATGAAATATTCGCCCAATATCCGAGGATAGGAAATAAACAAACTGTCATTGGTCCAATATCTACAGATAACATCAACGATAAAAACTGTTCTTTTGAATTTTGTCATTACCTGCAATTAGATAAAACTGAATATATTTTGAGGTTGTTTGTGTATTAATCTAATGAATCTTTGTTAAAGGTGAATTCAACGAACAGTGATCGATGTGGAAAAATCTTCAACAATACAGATATATGCAGAGGGCATAAAACACGGGCTCCTGGAAAAGCCAGAGGTTGGAATGTGGTGCCATGAAGGAGGAAGCATTCCCTGTTGACCCTTCACACCTTTAGTTAAAAAGCAATGGCCCAACAATTGGTTTGAACTATGAAAGCATATATATTTCTATAGGACCACACATGAGAGAAAAGGTGTGTCTAATAAAATGTTTGCTCAAAATGTTTACGGAAGAGGTATTAAGCATTACAGCTTCAAAAAAAAAATTAAAGTATAGTTTGAATTTATTCTATCATTTTCATTTGGGAAAAGCTCTAGTCATTGTAGGAAGAACTTCAACCCAGAATGTTCTTAAAGGAGTGATTCTTGGAAGTGATAGTAACATTTCTCGAAACGTATATCTAAAAACTAAAGAAAACGATGTTAATTAATTGGCCTCAGCGACCTGGAGAAGATCTTACATGTACATGCATATGATCGGTTAATGTTGCTGCATGGTAAACGGTTTGTGAATTAAAATCTATCGACCTAGGACTGCGTAAAGCTAACATAGCACTGCAAAGAGGTAGGAATGCTTTACTCTCGATTCATATAGTAAGAAGAGGCCCATAGGCCACATCGTTTACTTAGGCACATCAGCTTGCAAAAAGCACAAATCAGTTCAGTATTGAAAAACTTACGGAGAGGGGACTTAATTTTAATACTACTTGAGAATGCCTCCATATCAATAAAGCATAGAACTTTGCTCTTCTTGAGAATATTTATAAAGATACCTTCCTTTATAATACTTTGTAAAAATTCCCATTGTGCTTTCTCACTACCCCCTGGGGTCATGATTTAAAAGCATGGAATCTTCACTATACATAAGTATATGTTTACATGTCAATAAGACTAACCTAAGCTTTTCTGTTCCTGAGATTTTTTCCTTAATTTTTAAGGTAAAAATTTGATCCCCCATTGTGGCCTCCTCCCAATTCCAGGGGTTCTGATTTAAAAAAACAAACCTTGAATTTCCACTACCTGAGGATGCTTCCAAATCATGGCTTTGGTGTTATTGATAAGATTTTAATATTTTTTTTCTATATATTTCTATGTAAAACTTGTTAATATTGAGGACTAAAATCAACAATATTAAACAGTCCTAAATATAGGGAACCCGATCCTTCAATTGGCGTCGGAATTTCATAACTCTGGTAGTGAAGTTCTAGAAGGAACGTAAAACAATCAATCAATAAACCTTGCAATAGTAATACAACACATTCTTTTTCAGACTGTACATTTTTTGTACATTTATATACTTGTCAAAATTTCTAACGCCCCACTTTTATTTTTTGAAAATCGAAGAAACCGTTATGTTAATATTAAAGTCCTTAAAAACATCGTCTGCTGTATGTACCCTTTCATGTCTGCGATTGAAAAAAATCGAATTCACTTAGAAATTATTCAGCCGTGACCGCTTTTGTTGAAAAGCGTGAAGTACGAGTTCGAAATGGTTTTCGGGTGTGTTTTTCAAAACGGTTTTTTCCACGTGTTCTCTGTCTCAAAATCATCTTAAAAAGCAGTTAAAGTTTGGGAGAAAATGGGACGCATGTCTGCACAAGAACGCGCAAGAGCAGTTGGCATGGTCTAAGCCGGGCGCAGTTCATGGCAGATGTGTTTCTTTTCGCTTTGTACAATTTTTTTTTCTTCCAACATTTAAAAACTAATTTTAAAAAAGCTAAATAAATTGATTAAAACTTTTTCAGGTTGCTAGAACTTTCAACCGAGACCATAAAACCATACTAAGGCTCATCCGGAAATTCAATCAAACCGGAAGTACAGATGATCTACCCCGGAGACCGAAACGTCGAGTGACGACAAGCCAACAGGACAATTACATTAGGGTTGCGCATCTGAGGAACAGACACCGTACAGCACGCACAACGGCGCGTCAAACAATGGGAACGCATGGCAGACCTCTGAGTGACCAAACTGTGCGCAACAGACTAAGGGAGGGTGGACTGCGTGCCAGGAGACCATATGTAGGCTTAGTTTTGTCGGACAGGCACAGGCAGCTCCGTTTGGCTTGGGCAAGGCGCCACCTCAGATTTACAAGGGCAGACTGGGGCCGTGTACTCTTTACGGACGAGTCCAGGTTCAACTTGCGACGATCTGACGGACGAAGCCGAGTGTATCGAAGAAGGGGTGAGAGGTACACTGACGCCTGTGTGAGGGAAAAAGGGCAGTTTGGTGATGGATCGATAATGGTATGGGCGGGTGTGTCGTTACACACGAAAACCAGAATACTTCCAATCTGAGGAAACCTGAATGCTGCTCGGTATCAGACCGACATCCTTCAGCCGGAAGCAATTCCTCACATCAGAGCCAATAGAGGAATGATGCTGATGCAGGACAACGCCACCCCCCACACTGCCAGAACTACACAACAGATGATGCAGGGGCACAACATCCGTTTACTCGACTGGCCCCCATGTAGTCCGGATCTCAATCCTATTGAACATGTGTGGGACGAGCTAGACAGAAGGATAAGACAGATTCCCCAGCAGCAGAATTTGGCGGTACTGGAAAGGGATCTCGTTAACA